TAAATATGAAGGTTGTTTTCCCGGCCCCAGCCACTGACCCCAGAGTCCACTGCACCCAGTCCTCCCCAAATGCCAGCCCCTATTCCAAACACCTCAGTGCCTAGAGTCCTAACCACCTGTCTCCCACATACCAGCCTCCTGTTTCCAGATCCTAACTGCACCCAAGTCTCCCTCAATGCCAGCCCCCAATGTTAGCCTCATTTGCGGAGCTCCTCAGCGTCAGCCTTGCCTCCATAGCCCCTCCTTCTAGCTTTGACTCCTGAGCCCCTCTCTACCCCATGAGTCCCCAGTACCTGCCTTCCCGCCCCCTCCAACCTAGGCCTGCAATGCTGCCCACATCATGGCTGCTCTGGCAACAGCGTACATCACCCAACCCCTCTCCTCCTGCCACGGCTGTTGAGGAGAGGTGTGACCTGCTGCGCCTCTCAGCCAGCCATTGCAGGCAGGGGTGGGGTGTCCTTGCGGTTGCAGAAGAGTGCTTCCCTGTCAGTGGAAGTGCTGTGCAGCACGGGGTCTCCTCCCAGCCGTGGAAGAACGGTTCCCTGTGCGGCAGGAGGGCTGTGTGTAGCGGCTCCACATATCTCTCACCCGTGCAGGGAAGTGCTTTTTTATGTCTGAAAGTAGATACCTCACCTGCCCAATGCTGATTGGCTGAGAGGCAGGACACTCCTCTCCCAACAGCCGTGGCAAGAACAGTGTGCCCCAGCCCTGGGCCCCAAATACTCCACACCCCAGGAGGGGGCTGTAGCCTGGCAGTTGGGAACCACTGCCTTAGTGTTTGTAGGCTTAAGCCTTAAGATGTGAGCAGACAATAAGACAGGTCAGTATTATTTAGGTCGAAAAGAACAAAGTACACTTAAGGCTATATCTCCACTACCGCTTTTTTGCAGCCAAAAGATGGGGTTTTTTTGCGCAAAATGGACCCATCTACACTGCTTTTTTTTGCGTAAAAACCTGTTCCACAAAAAGCATTGGACAAGAATATGCAAATGAAGTGCAAATATGCTAATTAGTGCTCAATTTGCATTTCCTCTTCTGCAAAAAAGCGGCAGTGGAGACGTAGCCTATGGGTCGATTTGTACCAAGAGTTGGTGTGCTTGTAGGAGGACCACCCATTCATATGTCTTTACAAGTATTGGACAGCTGCTTCTGGTGTTAGAATACATTTCAAGAGTACATACAAAAGTTTAAAATTTTATCTTTCAGCTCAGTGTGCCATCATCATGTTTGATGTAACATCAAGAGTTACATACAAGAATGTACCTAACTGGCATAGAGATCTAGTACGAGTATGTGAAAACATCCCTATAGTGTTGTGTGGCAACAAAGTGGATATTAAGGATAGAAAAGTCAAGGCAAAGTCAATTGTCTTCCACAGGAAGAAGAATCTTCAGGTATGGTGGCTATCTTTTGGCAGGAATCTTATGTTTTGCTTTTAGTCTATTGACCTAAACATAACTACTGCAGTCCTTTTATTCTGAAGGTAAAATGAGATGCAGAATGCTTACATGTTTTTCTTTACTGATGGTAACGCAAATGCAGTAAAACATCAATCACTTATTTCCATGAAAACAGAATCTAGGATCTTAACAGTTGACATCGATAGTCAGTTAAAGGTACTGCATTAAATTAACTTCTGCTGGAGATGCAGCACCCTAAAGTCAGTCTTAATATAAAGCTCATTTAAGGAAGCTGATAATGGTGTAAAAAGTAAACTTTAGGACTACGCCTGCAATAAAAGGGAACATTCAATCAAGATATGCAATTCTGGCTAAGTGAATTATGTAGCTGGAGTTGACATACCTTGTTTGAGTTTCTCCACAGATGGCAGAAAACACTCCCATTAGCTTCTATTACTTCTGGCAGAAGCAGGAGTACTGATCAGGAGCACCCTTGGAGTTCAATTTGGTGAGTTTTAATTACCCTTGCTAAATTGAACTCTGGAAGATTGATTATAGCAGTGTCACTCTTCTGTTTAGTGAATATATAGATTTCATTAGAATTGGATTAATTAAAACTTGATAAAAATTCTGAGCAACTGAGCCAAATGAGCTTCACTCTGAACAGGTTTGCTTTATTTTGCTTAAGAAAAATATTCTTATTGAAATGAAGATTTAGGTCCAGAAATCTGATGGTTTGACAAACACCTGAAATACATTGACTTGTTTTTTGTTACAGAATTCTTTAGTATCATTGTATTGTGTGCCAAACCACGTAATCCGAGTGGGTTTAGGGGGAGAGGGTGGAGGGGGAACAGGAGAGAGGGAAGTTAAATATTTCAGAAGAGCAATGTGTCTGAACATATGATAGTTTCTCTCTCTTGCAGTACTATGATATCTCAGCTAAGAGTAACTACAATTTTGAGAAGCCTTTCCTTTGGCTTGCCAGGAAGCTAATTGGCGATCCCAACTTGGAGTTCGTTGCCATGCCTGCTCTTGCTCCCCCAGAGGTTGTCATGGACCCTGCTTTGGCAGCACAGTATGAGCAAGACTTACAGGTAATTGCTCTCACAAAATGGTAGAGTTCTAAATGTCTGTTTCTCTATATTGATGCCTGAGAAATCAACTGTAATAGGGAGTTTAGACTCACTAGTTGCTAAATATAAACTTATCTGTTTCAGATTGCTCAGACCACTGCCCTGCCAGATGAAGATGATGACCTGTAAGGGATGGAGCTGGAGCCCAGCGTCAGAAGTCTAGTTTTATAGGCAACTGTCCTGTGATGTCAGTGGTGCAGCGTGTTTGCCACTTTATTATCTAGCTGAGCAGAACATGTGCTTAATCTTTGGGATGCTGAGAGATGAATGGGCTTCGGAGTGAATGTGGCAGTTTAAAAAAAAAAAATTCCTTCATATTTTGGACCTGCATATCTAGCTGTTTTTTGGACTGCAATTACTTCCCTTTTTGAGTTTCAAAACTAACTAAGACTCCTGCAGTCATATCACAGTATTCAGTGGTAAACCTTGTTTGTTACTGTCATTCCCATTTTTTGTTTAGATCATAATAAAGTTGTATTTCAAATATCTAAACAGTGAACTTTTGTGCATTGTTAGGAGTAATTTGAATATCTTTTGTCCTTGAATAGATGCTAATGTAAAAATTAAAATTCAATATATTTAGAGTAGGTTTTTAACAAATACTAAATTGAAAGGTAATCTCTCAGGCTTCTTTAAGCCTACCTGATTTTAAACACTTGATGCAATATATATCTAAGGATTTGGTTACAGGTTGGGCTAAATAGTTTGTGTTGACTTTTCTAATGCACATTGTCAGGGCTCGACAAACCGCTGAATCTACTCGCCCGTGACAAGTAGATTTCAGCCAGTCGCTCCGTGCGCCCCATTTACCAGCACTTAGCGCATGTGCGGTGCCGGGCTAGCTCATGTGTGGTCCCAGGCTGGCGAGTAGCTCTCGCTGGAGTTTGTCAAGCTCTGCACATCGTGACAGTTCCTTAGTACTTACTAGGAAAAAGCAGTGCTTTCAAAATATCCCCTTGTGCGCTTTATCCCTACCATTTACACGGTACCTGAAGGGTTAGAAAGTTGTAAAATGCAGATGTAAATCTGTTTTTTAATGGCTACATTTTAAGTACTTCAGGGATTCTTATTCTAGGAACACAATCAAACAACCTTCACACTACCTTTTGAGGAAGGTGTAAAAATCAATTTTTTTGTAAAAATCAATAATATTGCACTATATAATAAATGAACATTGACATTCAGAGGCCTTAGGATAGCAGCCAGAAACTAGATATCAAAAGACCTGTAAAGTACAGATTATAGCAGAGCTAGTCTTCTGTTATAGTTAAGGTAGAGTATTCCTCAATGTATACAGGGAAGTGGGCTCTTTGAGTACTGTAAATCCACTGAATAGTTGCAAGTTAGTTAAAATTTGAATCCAAGTCCATGCTTGACTGAACTATATAAATCTTTACCATAACCACACCAAGTTCTAAAAATAAGATTTACAGCAGAGGGTGGATACATTTAGCAGAGGGTGGATACATTTAACACTAACTATGTCAAGAAAAAGTAGTTGATATTAGTGAAGTGCCAAACACCAAAACGGAAGTTTAAGGGACACAATTTTCACTGGTGTAAAGGACATGAATCCTTCAATTTTGTGTTTTTGTGTGTCAAAGTGAAGCATTTCATTTATTCCTGAACTTGCATTTTTATGGAAAGTTACTACAATATTTTAAAATTGGATAAACCACCAACAAGAAGTGACTGGGCATGGCTACACTACAGGTAAGATTGAAGCAGCCACAGTCAATCTTCCGGAGTTTGAATTAGTGGGTCTAGTGAAGACCTGCTAATGCGAACTGAGAAGGCGCTCCCATCAATGCTGGTAGTCCTATGAGGCGTAAGAAGTCAAAGGGAAGGTGTGCTTGCTTAGACTCTGCTTTGTGGATGGCGTCAAAATTTGAGTTAAGATACTTTGACTTAATAACATAGCTGAAGTTGTGTTTCTTAATTTGAACTTATCCCCTAGTGTAGACCAGGGTTAAAAGTAGCCTTTTTGTTTTGCATTTGATGTTACCTGCAGTTGAGAGATCCAGGCTCTCCAGTTTTCAGCTGGACTGATCTTTTCACTAGCCCAGTCTGTTTGAATCAAATATCTCTCCCAACAGCCACTTCTGCTTCATGTTTTCTACCTCTAAGGTTTATGCTGTGCCTACAATTTGAAGAGGAATCAAATCCGAACTAAGTTGAAAAGCATGCCATTTCTGAGCAGAATTGCACACTCTGAATGGGAGGAGATAGTTAAATGATTGTGTAGCTGTCTTAGACCCTGCCACAGCACTTCAAAGAACTAGCCACTTGTACTCCTATGGCTTTGCTGCACTTAGCTTACTAATCTAATCACAGCTGGTGTATTTTGACTTGAGGTGAGATTGTTACTTCATCTCAAATTGTAGACACATCCTAAATCACTGGTCCCCAAACTGAAGAACTTGAGGGTGGCACAGCTGGATCCAGGATTCTCTGGTCCTAGATAAGGCACTGGGTTTGTCCCCAGCTCTGGCTCTTGAGGCTGCAGTTCTGGCTTGTGGGTGTGCAGATAAGTTTTTATCATGACTAAACAGCACAAGTTTGGAGTCCATAGCCCTAAATTAACACTCTGCACTAATGCAGAGTTTAAATAGTCTATTTACTATATTATATTCCATAACAAGATTTTTTGCATTTAAAATCCCTGGTTCCTTTTTGGTAGCAATTTCAGTCTTTAAGCTTCTGTTCCAAGTTAGTATGTAAAACTAGTATGTACTAATTGTTAGTTCACAAGTTGGCCCCTAGCTATCTTCCCTTCTTCCTACTCATCTTACCTAAAATGGATGTTTGTTACCACTTCTGCCCCTTTTCAATTGTTTTAGCAGGAGAATCCCTAGTATGTGTGACTTTTCTTGCATAGGTTGTAGCTTATGCAAATAAATAGAATATGGCTGTTACAGATTTATTTGATGTGCACATACTTTAAGATAGGGATGTAAAATCCCATTTAATCAGAGGAGGGTGGAGGGCTGCTGGTTAACCATAATGCTTACTGAATAACCATTCACATTCCTCCTTCAAAACATCCAAGATGCAAACAACTTATTGTACTAGTGATTTTCCAAAATGCCTTATGCTTGGACATCTGATCATCTATGTTCCCTATAATTTTTTCTATCTATGGAATAAATTTTATTTGCAACAAGATATAGGCACCACCAGTGGACACATGCTGCTGCCTGTGGGTGCTCTGCTAATCAGCTTGGTGGCATTTGAATCTCTTGGGCAGTTGCCTACGCACTGAGCTTACATGGAATGCTGCTAGTGACATTGCTTGCTTTTTTTTCCCTCCAATCTATTAGTTTTCCTGGACCTTTTCACTGCATTATTTGGCTGTTATACTAGGGTGGCACCTTCTTTACTAACAGGTTTTTCAGATGACTGGAGGATGCTGGTGTAGAGCAAGTGTATAGGGCTGAGATCTTGCTTTGTCCATGGCATTTTCAGGGTCACTTAGACTATGGATCTGAACTGATTTTGAATGAACAATGAGGCCAGTATCACATGTAGTTTTAGTGGCTAGCTACACAATTATAGCTCTGTCAGTTTTTTTTCATATATGCTATTGTGATTAGTAACAACAGTTTTTGCTGATGTTGCAGAACTACTTTGTTTTAGAGACCTACTGTATTCCTTAAATTTAAGAGCATGATGAACTTTTTAAGTCTTACAATAATAGCAGCTTGTATATGCTGTTAAAAGAGCTCTAAAACATAATCCAGTTAAGCTGTCTCATCCTGCACTACTGTTGTGCTATCCCATAATATTTTTATTTCCTGATGAATATAGCACCTTTTTTCTAAGAATCCTAAAGTGATAAATTGTTACTCGGATGCATCTGTTTTTTATTTGTTTTCTCTGATTATTTTTTCCAAATGTTGGTATTGCTTGTCCCTAAATAAATGGTCAGGAAAATGAAACTTTCCTTAAACTGTATGAATACCTCCACCTAGTGGTATGAGTTATACATAAGAATACAGTACTTATTCTAATTAAATGCCTATCAGAGCCAAGATTTGCACACATTGTAATGTTCTGCTTATGGCTGCTGAATTTTCATATTAATTTGGGGTGCAAGCAGGATCATGTGCTATCTTTCACATGATTTAAGTTGGTAAGTCTCTATCTGTATCTTGCTTAGTTTCATATTTTGCAACCTTAAATATGTTCATTTTAAAAAACTGTTTTGCCCTTAATGTGTTAATTATATTGAACATACCTGAGCTAGGGTAAGAATCCATTTTGCCAATCCTGTTAGTAAAGGACACTGAAAGCTGCCCTTGGTAGAGGAAATCTGTAACCAAGCACTGGTATGCTTTGAATGCTATTCTCACCCATTTTTTGCCAAAACATGTTTTCTGGTGCTCTGAACTTTGATCTTTTATAACTGAACTGGGAAATTATTACCTAAGGCAGAATTTGGACTGTTAACTGTCTTAGAAAAATACATTTCTTTAAATGAAAGCTGTATTTTACAAGTTCAAGTACTTGGCCATAATTTTTTCAACATTAGTGTAACTTATTCATAAATGATCTGGAGAAAGGGGTAAGCAGTGAGGTAGTAAAGTTTGCAGATGATACCAAACTGTTTAGGATAGTCAAAACAGAAGCTGACTGTGAGGCACTCCAAGAAGATCTCACCAAACTGATTGGGCAACAAAATGGCAAATGAAATTTCATGTGGATAAGTGTGAAGTAATGCACATAGGGAAAAATAACCCCAACTATACATACAGTATGATGGGGGCTAATTTGGCTACGACAAATCATGAAAGATCTTGGAGTTATCGTGGACAGTTCTCTGAAAACTTCCACACAGAATGCAGCGGTGGTCAAAAAGGCAAATAGGATGCTAGGAATTATTAGGAAAAGGATAGAAAATAAGACCCAGAACATCTTACTGCCCCTGTATAAATCTATGGTACACCCACATTTTGAATACTGTGTACAGATGTGGTCATCTCACCTCAAAGATATTTTGGCCTTGGAAAGGGTTCAGAAAAGGGCAACTAAAATGATTAGGGGTTTGGAACGGGTCCCATATGAGGAGAGGTTAAAGAGACTGGGACTTTTCAGTTTAGAAAAGAGGAGACTGAGGGGGGATATGATAGAGGTCTATAAAATCACGAGTGGTATGGAGAGGGCTGATAAAGAAAAGTTATTTATTAGTTCCCATAATAGAAGAACTAGAGGACACCAAATGAGATTAATGGGTAGCAGGTTTAAAACTAATAAAAGAAAGTTCTTCACACAGCGTGTAGTCAACCTGTGGAACTCCTTGCCAGAGGAGGCTGTGAAGGCTAGGACTATAATAGAGTTTAAAGAGAAGCTGGATAAATTCATGGAGGTTAGGTCCATAAAAGGCTATTAGCCAGGGGATAAAATGGTGTCCTTGGCCTGTTTGTCAGAGGCTGGAGAGAGATGGCAGGAGACAAATCGCTTGATCATTGTCTTTGGTCCACCCTCTCTGGGGG